GTGCCTAATTGTTTCTAAAAATAAACAAGGTGTATTTGGGGAAAAATTTTGTGTGTAATTTGTTAATAATTCCTACCTTTTTCTTTTTGACTTCCTGTCGATTTAGTCGCGACTGGCTCCTTCCTACTCCTTTTGATTATTAAAGCTATTACCATCTTAAACCCAGGCCTAGCGCCGACTGTATGAGCTAACCGAGGTAAGTAACTTAAGTTTTGTACGCTTTGTGCAAAGCTGACATTATAATATATATATATATATATATAGGTACATAGGTATATATATATATATATTTATTTATAAATTTTATTAAGTATTTTGATTGACCATACGAGCATACTCATAAACAACACGTATTGGGGGCCACAATTTGTGGCGCGGAAAACCTTTTACGTACTTAGCTGGAGGCGCAGACAGATCTCAACTTGTATAAAGTACTTGTAAAAATGTACTTATATTTTAGTCCCAAGTACTGAGTACTCTTAGCAGAATGTTACAAGTACAAGTACCAAGTACATATACAAAGAAGTACTTAAGTATCAAGTACAAAGTACCCTATGTACTCTAAGTACTTTTTCAAGTACTTGTACTTAAGTACCGCCCAGCTCTGAACGAGAGGTGCTCTAAAGCGTGCGGCTATCGGCTACGTACTAGAATTTGTATTATAAAGTGTATTTGTTTACAAATCAATCATGAGTAATGAGAAGCCTTGTAGTAAATGCAATAAAGTACCCACGAAAGAAATTGTTAACTGCATAATATGTGGATCAATTTGGCATCCTGGATGTGCCAGACAGAAACAGGTATCTTTTATATCAGAGAAAGAAATTAAATGCTGTGAAATCAAAGATTCTTCTAAAGAACTTGATTCATCTAAAAATCCTCTTCTAGTAGAAATATTTTTTCTTAAAGAAATAATAATACAAAAAGATATGATTATCGATAATCAGAAGTCAAACATAAAATCCTTACAGGAACAAATTTTAAAATTAATTAACATTTAATAACAATTGTTATTAAATGTTATTAATAATTATTTGCAGTTAACTGCAAAAGCACGGCTAACAATAAACCGAAAAATTTACTGAAAATCAACAAATAAAAAATAATACCGAAAATAAAAAAATTAATGGTAAAAATAAAGGCTCTGATTCAAAAAATACCTATAATACCTAAAACACTAGTAGCTGAGGCTATTCTGGAAGCAAAAACAAAAACTACTTGTGACCAACTCATCAACCTTACCAACCCAAGTCAATCTACCACTTCCAATGAAAATAAACAGGAAAAAGAAAATACATGGACTGACGTTGTTAAAAAGGCGAAGGCAAAACCAAATAAAACAGCAGGTATAGTGGGAAGTCTGAAGGATTCTTCCAACTGCTCCCTAAAAGTACCTAGTTCCCAAAAAATCTTTTATATATGTATCCAGACTACAGCCTACTACGCAGTGTTTGAATAGCATCTGTGATTTTGTTTTCCCTCTGTGATTTCACACTGAAGTCAGTATAAGGTCAGATGTGATTTTCAGTCATTCAAAATCATGTTTGATTTAATACTGAAGTCGGTATGAGATCACGCATGATTTTCAATATAAATTCTAAGTTCAAAATCATGCCTGATTTCATACTGGGGTGAGTATGAGATCAGGCATGATTTTCAGTTAAGGGTACCTATTCCATAAGTTCCAAGCTTACAAGCTAATTTTATTTAAGCTTATAAGCTATAGCTTATATATAGTTCTCGTTTAGATGTAATGTAATGTAATCTATAGGGTATAGTTGTTTATTTGTGCTTGTCCCATTGTGTATCGTCGAGGGGACTTTAGGCCAGCGGTCCGTTAATACCCCTTACCCGCACAAGCTATAGCTTGTGCGGGTAAGGGGTAGGAACGGACTTCCGGCTTAAAGTCCCCTACGAAGGACTATACACAATGGGACAAATACAAATAAACAACCATGGTTATGGGTATGCATACCCACGTGAGTTTCGATCGGGCGCGAATATTAGTTCAAAATCATGTTTGTTCTCATACTGGGGTCTGTATGAGATCACGTATGATTTTCAATATGATTCTAAGTTCCAAAGCACGCCTGATTTCATACTGAGGTCAGTATGAGATCACATATGATTTTCAGTATAATTCTAAGTTTCAAAGCACGCCTGATTTCATACTGGAGTCTGTATGAGATCACATTTTCAGTATAATTTACAGTTCTAACTCAACCATAGAGGAATGGCGCCAGGTAAATTGCGCCAGATTTAAGAAATCTTTTTTTTGTAAATACCTAAATTTTTAATCAAAAAATTTTGGTATTTTATTTTAATTTTTTTATAGCAATTTAAGATTTCCTCCTTCACTGGAATTTTTTTTCAGGAAACAAATGGTTTTATTGCAATAAAATTTAAAAATTAATGTATTTATTTTTAAATTTTATTGGGTATAATTAATTATAATTATTAACTTTTCAGCAATCAAATTTTATTGGCGTATTAATTGCCGTTGGTCTTTACTGTTCCCGTTCAAAAGTTAAACTTGTGATCGTCTACCATATCATTTATACTTTAACGTACGTCAAACTATAAATGACTTGGTAGACGATGTTTAACTTCGATTATTGATTATTTAAAATAATTGTTTTTTTCTATTAATCGATTTTTTTGATTAATCGATTATTGATTTATCGATTATTTGATTAATCGATTATTTAATTAATCGATTATTGATTAATCGATTATTTGATTTAATTAATAATTGATTAATCGATTATTTGTTTAATTAATTACTGATTAATTGATTAAATTATTAATTGTCTTGCATGCAATATAAGTTTAAAAATTTTATCAGATTTTTTTAAAACCCAGCATAAATCTTAAAAATGCGTTTTCTGAAAAATCACTATAGGTTAACCTAGTTGTTTTTGTTTTACTTATTCTTTAAAGTTTTCTTTCTACCGGTTTCTACCGGTCTCTTTACAAAATCACATCTGATTTCATTCTGACATCAGTATGATTTCAAAGCCAACGTCAGCAGTAACAAAAATCACATCTGATTTCAGTCTGACTTCATATTGCTGACATTCGCGTATGCGCTACTGACGTCAGATTCTCGACAGACGTGACAAACGATTTTCACGTCTGATTTTATTCTGACGTCAATATGAAATCATAAATGCTAGCTGGGTATATCAAGAAAAGACCACCTTACATTCTTAGGTATTATTCTTAATGAGAAACTAAATTGGAAGCATCATTGTGACTTTTTGATTTCAAAGTTAAGTTCTTTAGTCTATTTATTTAGAAATCTTAGACAAGTATTGGTTTTGGAACAATTACTTTCTTTATATCATGCCCAAGTAGACAGTCGGCTCCGCTATGGTATTTGTTTTTGTGGATCATCTATAGATATATATATATATATCTATAGATGATCCACCTATAGGTATAGGTATACCTGTGCTGAGCATGTATTTATTTCTCAAAAGCGAATTATCAGATGCATAGCTGGGATTTCACATGATTATTCATGTAGAAATTTATTTCAGAAATTTAATATATTGCCAGTCCCATGCGTTTAAATTTTAGAATTATGTACATACGTATTTTTAAATAAAAGTAAATTTTCAATGAACTGTGATGTCCATAATTTTAATACACGAAATAAAAATGATCTGAGAATACCTTTTAATCGACTAAATTTAGGTAAAAAGTCTCCAAACAGTTTAGGAATACATATATTTAATAGACTTCCTTTGGAAATTAAAAACTCAAAATCAGTTCACATTTTTAAAACACTTTTGAAGTCATGTTTGTTGTCCAAATGTTTTTATAGCTTGAATGAATTTCCTATAATCTAGCTAAAGTTGTTAAAATTTATTTATGTACATTATGAACCATTTTGTAATTTCTTATGTAGTAGCTGGCTAGCTAGTAGTACCTAGGTATATACATATGTTTGTCTATTTCAAATTTACCTTGACGTTTTCTACACATGTATATGTCTTCTGAAATAAAGCCTATTATTATTATTATTATTATTATTATTATTATTATTATTATTAAAATATTTATATTGCTTATTGGTAATTTTGTTACATTACAATAGTTTCACTATGTTACGTTGCTGTTATATTGCTTATGGGTAATTTTGTTATATTGCAATAGTTTCACAATGTTACGTTACTGTTATATTGCATATTGGTAATTTTGTTATATTGCAAAATTTCACAATGTTACGTTGCTGTTATATTGCTTATTGGTAATTTTATTATATTACAATAGTTTTGTTATACAACAATAGTATCGCAATGTTACGTTATTGTTATATTGCATATTGGTTAACTTGGAACGGTAACAATGTTACCATTATTTTATGTAACTGTTGCGTTGCATTTTGGTAACATCGTTACATTGCAATGTTACTCCTATGTTACATAACGGCAATACTGTGTTACGTTAAATGTTGACCGCGCTATGTATAAAAATATGTATATTTGAGCTCTTCAGACTTGACATTATCTGATGTTATATTTGCCAAGTGGTTATTTTTGATAAAATTAGTGAAAATGTAGTCTCCTCTTTATTCTTTATTCTACCTCAGAAGATTCTTAATTCTCTCTTAAATTATATTTGCAAATGACGTTACATAGGCAACCCAGATAGCGCCCTTGTAATTTACTGGCATACGTTCAAATTCAAATGAGTCTTAATATTTTAAAAATATAATTATGCCTATGGAAGGTTGAACTTGCAATTATGTTTTTAAATTTATTGATTTTATTTGTCCCCGACTAGCAACTAATCTGTGAAATAAACCAATGTTTGTCCTTCATTTATCCCTGATTTAAAAAATTTACTATATAAACAAGATAAACATGGCGTTGCAATGTTGTCATATCGATATTGTATAAAGATTGAACAAACAATAAAATTAATATTTTATAAAAAAATATATTAAAACAAAATTCAAATGTGTTAACTTTATAAGGCTTTAATTTATTTAAACATATTTCATTAATATACTTGTTTTATAAACCTTTTATTTTAAAGTTTGACAACATCTATGAGTCATTCGGCAACCGAACTTAATCGACCAATTCCGATGTCAAACTTAAAGGCCGATGAAGACAAATAATCATAAGCAATCAGCTGTAGTTTTTGAAAGAAAGGTTTATTTTATGTTTGCAGCAGCAAAAAACAGTTCTTAAATTGAAGTTGTACCCGTGTCAACATGAAGATACTGATCTTCATTACATTTGTGGCAGCTTTTGGTAAGAAATTTAACAAAAATTTATTGCGTCGTTTTAAAACATTGTGTTTTTTTGTTGCAATTATAAGTATATTTTTCCTTATGTAATGTTGATTATGCTTTTTAAATTCCACATTATTTAAATCCTTTTATACCTATTTTATTAAACAATGAGTCATGACTTGTCAACATTGATTTTGTTGAAAACCTTCAGATTTCCTTGTAATTTTAACTTCATCGTTTGTTAATTTGATAATTTTGTAAAATTATCGCTTTATTTCTAGAAACATTGAACTCTGACATTTCTTTTTGATCATAACAAAGTTGTTCGTTACATGCATAGATAACAAAGAAATCCTATTTATAAAGTATTGTCAAAATGATTTTGCACAACATTTTGGCAAGTTAAAGACTATTTACTACAAAAATTGAATTTTGCATTATAAACAACGCACATTTACTTAAACAGTATGCCAACAAAAGTATACTATTTAGGAATCCTTTCAGATTAAAAATTAATTTTGTAGGTACCTATAAATATAGGCTATAATTACCTAAAGCTATCACTTAAGGATTATTTACAATAATTTAAATTATTGTTTAATTCCAAAGTGTAAATTTTAATGCAGCAGTCATACAAATACACAAATAAAAGGGTTTTAATTTTTCTCATGTTTACCTAACATAATATGTGGGTACATACAGGGTTCAAAATAAAATTTTACCATTGTAAAATAAAATAAATTAAGCTTGCCTACTTGCATAAGTTACATGTACCTATATCAAATTTTCATCGTGTTTCTAAAAAAAATAACCCTGTATCTTGAGAAGCATATAAGCCTGTATACTGCCCTACTATGGAGAAAGGCAGTAACTGCAAAAAAATGCAAAATGCGTTTTCTTGTGCTATGGTAAAGCTATGGACATTTTGTAACTGAATTCAACACAGAAATGCAGTCAAATATCTGATATTTATAAAAATGTAGTTTATGCTAATTTTCCACAAATTTCTTGTTTAGCAGTTACTGCCTTATAATAACATATAACTTATAATCGTTGATTAAGTTTATCTTACGGTTAATTTCCTTAGATACTATTGTTAACACAATAGTATCTAAGAAAGTTAACCGTAAGATAAACTTAACCAACGATTGAAAAACAGTTGTGTATAACCTAAAATAAAGAACCAAGGAAGTGGTTACTTTAAGTATACAAAAATTTTCTGTAGTTTTTGAGTTATAAAGTGTTAAAAACGCTTGGCAATGCTTTGTAATATTTCTAAAAACATAACAAATAACAAATGATAACAATTTTAAATAACTTTGTTAACGAATTTTTTTATTTTATTTTTTTAATACCAAGAAAATTCTTTGGTATTTAGGTATTTTAATTTAATTTTAAAAACTAATAAATTTTTATTTTTTTATTTATTCCCTTTAACGTAATATTGCGTTAATGCCCTATTTTAGGGATATACTATATATTTGGTTGTCTAAATAATAGGAGAGTATTTTTTAATTATTTTTATTATGTTAACAATATGTACCTATATCTGTCCACCAGTATATCAATATTCTATACATAATAGAAAAATAATGCTGGTATTTAATAGCTTTAAAAAATTGTCTTATAAAAGCCAACATTCCTAATTTAATGTCTAATGTATAAAGATTTAGTAAATCATTAGTCACCATTATGAGTATCAGTAAAGAAAATCACGAGTAAATGGTTCATAGTGTAAAAAACAATATGATTAATTGTATACATTTGAATCATTAAATAAAAACAATATTTATATTTTTGTATATTGATTAAATTAAATCAAAATAATTACTTTTCTTCCTATTGACTTTAAATTATTGCAACTTATTGTCCCAACAAAAATAATTTACCCCCTAGATTTTGTATTTTAGTATGGATTTTTTCTATAAATTGTATAAAATTATTTGTTTAATGGATTTTTCATTTAGAACTATTTTTGTGTAAAATATGTATAGACTTTTTATAGTTTAACTTTTGGGCTGGTTATTATTTTAGTTTTATTTTCATTTTAATTGTTTTGCTTATTGGTCCACTAAATTATAAATGTTTTTGTTTAGCCATCTCAAGCGGTGTGTTTGTACCACCCCGTCATCATAGAGCAAATCATTTACTTGGAGCTAAAGAATGTACTTGGGGACCATCATACTGGTGTCAAAACATTACGTAAGCAATATTTTTCTTTATAGAAATTTCGTAGCAAAAAATTAATATATACTTTTTTAGTACATCTGCCCATTGTCGCGCCACAAAACATTGCATTGAATTGGTATGGATTCATAGGCAGCTACCTCCAGACACATCAAATGTATGTCAAATATGCAAGGACATGGTTACACAAGCTAGGGATAATTTGTTGAGTAATGGTACTCAGGTAAGAATTAGTATTTAATTATTTGGACCTAAGTTTATTAATCTTACTATACAATTTTTATAAAAGAAATCATAAAAAAATTTTTCATGTTTGTTTGAATATGGTAAGAGAATGTAAGGATTAATTTGAATTCAGTTTAATTTATTATTTTTTTATTAAAAATATAAATATTCGTTATGATTCATAACTTATAAATAATTTATAATCATTATGTGCAAACTTTTACATTTTAATTATTTTATCTCTTACCAGATTAAAGCGACAAGATTTGTTTGCAATTTAATTTATTTAAAATATGTTTTTAAATTAGAACAAACATAATATGTAACATATTTATTTTTTATCCTTCTAAGTACAGGTTTTCCCGAAAATGGCGCATTAACGGTATGCCATGCTGTATGGGATGATATTTTAAGTACCTATACCAAAAATTGCATCTCAGCTTAAGCTGTCACATTACACATCTTAAATAAGTTATGGAAACAAAATAAACAACGCATCCGCTGCGATCTAAACTTGTTTGACATGTAATTTCTGACAGTCCATTTAAAAGTATACTTTAAATTGAGGTTTTAATATTTTCGGAAAAATTGAACCAGCAAAAAACCGTTTTTTATTTTATTTTATTTTATTTATTTTTATTTTATTCAGTGTTCAAAAATACTTATATCATTTTTCCCTAAAAAGACAATTTTTCCAAGGCCTGGGAATAAAAACGAAAAAACAGTTTTTTCCCATTTTTTCCCTTTAAAACCCTGTTTAAATCATCATAAATTAAATATAAACGTATTTAAAAAATAGTTTAATATACTTGTATATAAATAAATAATCTTAAAAAATTAAAATAACACAAATAAAATACAATTTTTAAACCCTTATAGCTCAGAAAAAAAAAATTTATATTTAAATATTTATAACCGAGTTTATAACTTACTACCAGCGAGGTATGCGCCATTTTCGGGACACCCTGTATAGATCAACTTGCAAAACCTTGTGATGATAATAGCAAGGTAAAAACAAAAATAGAATATGTTTGTCCCCTAAATTTAAAAAAAAATAAGTTTTAATAAATTATTAGAAAAGTATCGTTTTTTGCAAATTTTATTAATTATTTTTGTAGTGTTAACATTTTTCTAGGGCTAACAGATAAGAGCTTTTTAAGAGTTAAAAATTTGTAATTTGAAAGTATTTTTTTGTGTATAAAGGTCTTAATTTAGAATACAAAATACTAGGGCTGTACAATTTAGCCAGTTAGCCATTAAATAATTAGCTGAGCTAAGCTAGATTAACCGGTTACGCCGCCAGGTAATTAGCTAAGCTAATTCAATTAACCGGTTAAATTAGCTAAGCTGATCAGTTAGCTAGCTAATTAACTTAGTTAACTTTTTTAGCCGGCTTAACCGGCTAAATTGTACAGCACCACAAAATGCTATTTTGAAAATATACATATATTATTATAATAAATTAAGAAAATTGATTTTGAAGTCTCAAATCACAACAAACTATTGAACAAGAGTATTATATTTACTTATAAATAATCCTACTGGTAAAAATAATCTTTTTACTGAACATTTGTTAGTGTAATGTTACAAAAATCCTTGTGGCAATGTTCCTGCAACTTTGCACCAAAGCCTTGTGTCTAGCTCAGCAACAATTATTGTAAATAAAAGGTTGCTAAAATGTTACTTTAATTTGATTGCAATGTAACTAAACGTTACTTTTGGAAGTCTTAATTAGAAATATTTCAGAAACATACCTTTCATATACTATGTGACAAATTAAATGATATTTTAAAGTTGAATATAAATTAAAGAAACATGAGTTTAAATGGCTTGAATCCAACCACAGAAGAAACACATAATAATTTCTAAGTTTATAACCCAGAAACATATTCTAGTAGAATAATATTATACCCCACATCGCACGGTGGGCTAGATTCGGCAAAAAGCGGCAAAAACACAATTTAGGACTTCTTGCAATTGGGCACATCTAAACTTATTTTCTTTCTAGAAAAAACATTGACTTTTTGTATGGTGTTTATAAAATATTTTTGACGTGTCAAAAATTGCCAAATAAAATATGTATGTATTCAGAATTTTATTTTGAATCGAAATATGTAAAAATGCATAGGGTGTTTCATTAAAAAATAAGAAGTTAAGACCATCTTTGGTGAAACCAGAAGTGACAAAAATATGTTAAATATGTCAAAAAGTTCTAAATTACACTTCGTATAGGTCACCCCAGTTTCATGACCCTAGATAAAAACAAATTTTTTCGATGGACCACGAATTTACTTTTTTCAATAAAAAAATAATAATTCCAAAATGACGAATTCAGTCAACTCGGTACTTTTGGTGAAAGTTGTTCATGTTATCAACTTCAAACGAAAAAAATATGAAGTAAAACAAAATGTGGCAATGTCAAAATTTTCACCTTATTTTTTTTTTCCTTTTTTATAAAAAAGAATTAAAAAAAAAATAGTGACCACTTAATTTCTTATATTTTTTTTGTATGTAACGATCGCTACATTTTTGGCCATGTTATCGCATTTTCAAGAAAAAATGTCACTCGTAAAAAGAGAAAAATCGATGTTTCTGTCCATTTTTAAAAAATTTCCCACGGGTGAACAAAACAAATTTTATCACAAAGAAAAAATACGGGTCTCATCTATTTCGATAGAAAAACTGTAAACAAATTTCGTTGAAAAATAATGACCTACCCCTATTTGCCTGGTCGATTTAAGATGTTTATAAATATTGCCTTACATTGTAAAAAAATGTCCCTAATATATGTATATTTAAAGCAACATTGCAGTCATTTTTTATTTTAAAGTATTTCAAATAAAACATTAGGAAAAACTAATTTTTGTAATATTATAATTGTAATCTTTTAATACTTTTATATAACATTTTAAATGTAACATTTTATTAATGTTAATGCAAGTAGCAAGAAAAACATTTTATTTGTAAACTTGTAAAATTGTTTTAATATTTTCAATGAAACATGGGGAGAAACCTAAAATATTTATAATTGTAATGTTTTCATATTAATCTTACGGTAAAGTTAAGTTAAGGTTGTGTAAAATTCTGTTACATTTTATTCATGTTAGCGCGAATACCATATTTTAGACATTTTTTCTTTTTTTTAAGACAAAACAAACAAATTCTATTGCGATTATCCGAGTGAGTCCATGCATGGATTTTTATTAGCCTTATTGCACTACTATAATATAATCAATGCAAATAAGGTTATTTATAAATAAATATAAAATTATTTATATCTAATTTATAAATAAATCTGCGACAAATTGAAAAAAAAGGTAAAATAACGCAACGGTATTTTCAATCACGACTTCGACATTTGACATGTGACAAGTGACATATGTCAATAGTTCACTAGTCCACGGTCTTATATACAGGTCTTGCAACTTTAAGCTTCGAGGTGGCTTCCTTAACGTGCCAAGCCGCTAGGTGGCGCTAAGATCGAAGGGGTAAAGTCAATTAAACTACCTACTCCTTAGTTAAATGTGGAACTACTGCATAACCATAACCTAACTTTTTAAATTCTTTTTCTATGTTTTGTTTACATTTTCAAAAATTTAATATTTGTGAGTTTGTTTCGGATAATTTACGTTAACAAAATAGGACAACAAAGTCTATACTCTATGCACAAAGTCCTCGGCCGTCACATGCCCAGACCAAACATGTTAATGTATAAAATACATACGTATATCATATATATGTTACGGCTAATGTGTAAACATGGATAGTTTATTAAGTAGCTGGGTAGTTTATAAACTAGCCAAACTGTCAGCTATTTTAATTGAAAACGTATTTTTAACTAAATTAGCGGCTAGTTTGTAAACCAACCAAGGGTCTTGGCTAATTTACTTGAAATTATTTAGGAATAGCTGGATAATTTATAAACTATCCAATTCAATTTGGCTAATATGAAAACCAAAATTTCTAGTAACACAACAAACTAACCAACCAATATTCTGGCTAATTTATTAATAACCGATTTTTTTATTGTCTTGGCGGGGATGGGTTGATTGTTTATTTAAAATAATATATATTTCACCAACACGATGTGCTTAATTATATAATAATCATACAAAATGTGAAGGTGTCAATAATATGTTTTTTATTGCACATTGCCATGTTTTTAACCGCTCCTTATTTGTTAGCACTTTAAACATGGACCGCTTTGCTGGTTACATTTTGGCACAACACAGGACTTCATGTCTATTAAAAAGCACAAATACAAATGTATAACAAGAACAAATATAACAAGAACAAATATAACAAGAAAAAATAGAACAATATAATATAACAATAACGAATATCACAATAACAATAAGTGAAAACTCCCTGTAACAAAATACACAAGCTTGTTTATAAAAATGTAGGTTATGTTTCTTCACAGAACATAAGTAGGTAGTTCATTTGACCTTTATCCCATAGACTTTAAGGACTTAGAGCCGGTTTTACAATCGTTAGATTAAGTTAGCTTATTTGGCGGATAACTTTCATAGAAACCTTCTATCTAAGAAAATTATCCACCAGAGAGCTTATCTAATGATTGTAAAATCCAAAGATAAAGAAGGTAAAAACGACCTTTAAACATCTATGGTTCACCCTCAACTCGATGCGCCATCTGGTGGGTGTCTCATTAGAGAGGTCACTTTTCCTATTGAAATTGGGCGAAGTTGCAAGACCTGTATATAAGACCGTGCACTAGTCTAATGAATTGCACATTTTATGTAACAAATACATTAAAAGCTGTTAGTCATTATTTGGAGTTCACTAATTAAAATTCTCAAAAAATTGATTAAAAATCATTAATGTTTTTATAAAAATTGATTTTTTTAAAAAAGTGCCAAGCGAATTGAATTTATCCTGAAAAAAAATGTCTTGTAAGTGATTTTTTATCAAAATATGAAAAAAAATCGGATAGGTCTCAACCTTTCAATTAAAAGTTATTCAGGGACACCGTGATGTTGGTATTAATATAGTACTTTCGAAAATGAAACAATCATAAAATAACTATTTATAAACTTTAAATTAAATAAGTAAGTATAAACGGGGAACACAAACCCACCTTGTACAATGTACATAGAGTTTGGGATGGTCAATTGACCGGTCAAATTCGGTCAAAATATATTATTTTTTGCAGCCTGGAAAACTGGTTTATGCTAAATTTAATTTTAATAACCAAGTATAATATCATATTGTGTTATTTTGGCTTTATTTTTCATATTTAAAACGTTCATATGCATTAAAATTTTGAAATTTTATTTGTATGCTTTATGTATTCCAAAACCTACTTGGACACTATAGGTTTGTTCGGATACGCGAAATGAACGGTTAAGAACTGTCAGAATCATGCGCATTACGAAATTTGCTTTCGGGGTTTGGACCTGGTGAATATCGTGTTTTGGTTTCTTTTGTGGACGATTAGCTGGCCATACACAGGCGTTATTTTGCGCGGTTTATCGTGGCGTGTTGGGTTGTAGCGGTTGGTATGCACGAAAGAACGGCATGGCAAAAAAGCGTCATGTTCCATACACTTGATAAAGTATTCAAATGATTTAGCAAGTGATTGCCCGTGGTATATCAGTTTCAAAGGAAAAATCGTATGTGTGTGGGCAAAAAGTGTCATTTATCGAGTCGTTTGAAACTGCATGTGATCATGTACAAATTTTCAACGTGAAATTTTGCCAAGCAAAGGTAAACCATGACGCGGAATGTGGCGTGTGGACACTCCACACTCCAGAGGAAAGCACGTCTGAAATCCCTTCCCGTTCTATCATTGCGCGCGGCGATACTCACGTACATGATTTTCCATATGTTTTTGCAGATAACACGATAAACCGCGCGCAATAACGTCGGTGTATGGCCAGCTATTCAGGACTAGTCCAGAACCGTTTAAACTAATACGAGCTCAGAGTGCGTACTCTTTAGAACTGTTTTCGTTTTAATTTATGTTTATATACTTATAGCGTTGAGTGATTTAATCAATGCTTATAGGTTAGGTGCTTTTATTTTGGTTTTTCGCATTTAAACATGTCCGAGCACAAAATACCTTTGATTAATTTGAATTAATAAAAATTTTAATTGTGAAAGATTGAAAATATTGAAGAAAGAAGGTAAATTTCAATTGGCAAGAGTTCGGCAAAGCCTATCTTCCACTCTCCCTCAATATAATACATAAACAAAATCTTATAACAATATAAAAAATAAAAAACTATTAAAAATAATCAACAATTTCAAATTTATTATTCTTTAATGTCCAACTGCAAACCGTAAGCGTTTTGGTTTTTCAATATTTTACTAAACATCAAGAACGGTTTAAAACCTAAAACTACTGCGACTACAGTTCTGCGCAATCTTTAAACAGTTCAGAATTGTATAAGTTGAACAAACCTTATGAATGTATTTTAGGAACTCATCAAACAAGTGTTCGAAGGGTCCTGCGCCTTGATGCACATCAAAAAGGTCGTGAAACAGTGCGACAATCTCGTCGACGAGTTCGTGCCCGAGCTCATCGACACGCTCGCTTCCCAGATGAACCCGCAGGTCGTTTGTTCCGTGGCCGGGCTTTGCAACAACGAAAGGATCCATCGCATGATCGCGGAGGCCGAGCAAAACGGCGAAAGCGATTCGGCACCGGTCGTCAAAGATACGTGCGCAGGATGCCACAGCGTCGTGCAATTGATGGAGAGCAAATTCGACCAGATGAGCAGGGATGACGTGCTTCAGAGCTTTTTACACGTAAGATATTATATTATATAAGACATATTTGAGATTTAGGTTATTTTTTTTTAATTTTATTTGATAGTAAAACAAAAAACTACTTAGCATGCACATTAGGGTTACCGTTATTTACCAAGTTGGCTGTTTTCACTTGGGTATCGTTTAAATTGTTAGTTTATAACCTAAAAACAATTTTAAAACAAAAAAATTTCCCATTCATTTAACATGGTATTTTTGCACTTTTTGGAAATTAATATTTTTCTTGTTTATTATATTCAATAACTTACCAAATATTGTTGATTCTGCTTCTATTATGATCCCATTGGATAAAAAAAAATTGATATTGGCGTCAAAAATTTATTTCGTAAATTTTGTTAAAAATTTATTTTTACTGTTTTTTTTCTTCAATTTTATATTTAATTTACAGACCATTCAATATTTATTCTGTATTTAATGTTAAATTTTATTTTATACGCTTTTAATATTGCCTACACTCTAGAAATCAAATATTTAGGGATAATATAAACGTTTTAAAGATAATTACCCAATTTATTTTATAAAATAACAGTTTTTAAAGAAAATTACTGCATTGCTAAATCAGTTGATATAAATAAATCAACGTTTCTGCATACGGCCCTTAGTGATTTCAAACATTTGACTAAAGGGAAAAATACTTTTTATCTCAAAAAATTTATGGTCGAGCGATAGATAGTGTTAGGATATAATATTTAATTTAAAATGAACTACCTATTAATGATTTATGATTTGCAATGTTCATAAAATAAAATTTAACATTAAATACAGAATAAATATTGAATGGTCGGTAAATTAAACAAAATTATTAAAAAAACGGTATAAATGAATTTTGACCTTATCAAAATTTACTGAATAAATTTTTGACCCCAATGTCAAAATTTCTTTATCCAAAGGGATCTAATAGAAGTAAAATCAACAATATTAAATGAATTGTATCATCATTTAGGCAGGGTTAAGCGTCATCAAAAAAAATTGTTTCAATATTGTTTTTAGGCTATAAACTAACAATTTAAACGATACCCAAGTGAAAACAGCCAACTTGGTAAATAACGAATACCCTAATGCACATGCAGTTTGCTTTATGCCATAGTTAATTTTCTACAGTAAAAAATTTCCAAAAAGTAATTTAAAAAAGATGCTTTGAGTATGAGTATGAGTATAAGAGACGTATAACCAGCCCCATTTCCTCTTGACTCTCGAACCCCGTACAGGCCTATGTTTACTTACGCCGATTTTTGTTCTTCCCCAGCAACTGCACGGCTTCACCCGTGTTTGCTGGGTGCGAATGTCCATTGCGTTCCGTACTGTCCCCTATTTGGGGCTCGAGAGCGAGAGGCGAATAGTTATAATAGCCGTTCCCGGGTTCGCCGGGCCTATGCTATACGCTCAGTGGGGTATGGAGGAGGGACGGGAAGGTGTTGGTTTTTGGGGGACAATTACGCCGACTTAAAACTAAGTACGACGCGGAATCCCCCTAGACCAGTCGATTAGTATTACTCCAAACATTTGGGACTACTATTTGGAGTTGGGGAATTGTTATTTCGCTGCAGGGGTGTAGTTTCCTAGTCGAGGTCTTTGTCTTGTTCGTTATTGTCATTGTCCGTGTCCTGGTCAGATATTTCCTGCACTTGGTAAAGTGTGTCAGTTGTTTTTAATAAATTTTGTCCCAAGCACGTTTTGTGATAGAGTTTTGTCTTTTTTTTTAATTAATTTCCAAAATTAAGCATTGCATTTATTTATTAGTCAAACAAATCACAAGCGCGATTATTCTGTTGTCTAATGTTTACAAATCTCGAGTTTGGCTATTAGGCTTTTTTCTTAATGTTAGAATTATGATTAATGTGCTAGTTTATTCTGAGTCTAGTGTTTATTTTCGGTCTCGATTGGGATTGCCTTACGCATTTGTTGTTGACAGATTCATTGCCCCATTCCGTGTGCCTTTCGTAGGTTTCAAAGATATCCCAATAAACACTTTAACGGTACCCACCACCAACATTGCCCGTGTAAGAATTTTTGATACTTTTTAATACAATTTTGCAATGATAGTAATTAAAAACAAAACAATTGTTTAAAGAGTAAAATATGTTCCTAACATAATCATATTTTAAAGTTATTTTAACATTTTCAAGTAAATAAATGTTATGTTTAATAAAATGAATAACGGGCAATGTTAATGGTGACAAATAACGGAAAATGTTTGCTGGGATCTGCCGTATTTAAATTGCAGATTTGTATCAGGTCATGCAATTCTTAAAGTAACTTATCAGCTTTTTTTTTTGCGGATGGCCACCTCCCCTCTTGTTTGACCTCCCCTGTCTGTCCAGTGAAAAGCCTCCAATGGCAGGTGGCACTTCATTCATATCACTCAACACTTCACTCCTCAATGACCGTTACACCATTTTTGCACTCTATGAAAATGTTTGTTTCACTTATTAGTTTGCACTTTTTATAATTATTGTTGGTTTTATCTTTAAACTCTTACGTTTCAAGAGCTTACCCGCACGCTGGAAGCGCTGGAACCGAACTGTGAAGTAATTTAAAAAAGATGCTTTTTACTAAATATTAAATGAGCCCAAGTATAATTTTCAGTGGATAAAACGTATCGCCACTACATGGAACTGTTAGTGTATTGCCAAAATCTCTGCCACTTGGTAAAAACGGTTCTATTACGTGGAAGTGACTAAAATGGAAACACTTTTTTAGTTCTTAAATTGTTTATACCACGTTTTGATTGCGTTTCTATAACGTGGAGGTATAGTGGCCAAAACTTAAGTAAAACTTTACTACTCTTTACTTTTTAAGCTCGTATCTTTCTAGCATATTATTTATTTCATTATCTTTCCTTTCTCTGATACTGAATATTAAACTGACACTGAATACTAAAATTATTATACTTAATGTAAGAATCCAACCTGCAAATAATAACTAGAATTAAAATAAAGCAAAGGCAAAAAATTAACACAAATAAAATTTTACTGTCAAACAATGGGTGTCATAGGCTATGACTCATAGCTCAAAATATAAATATACCTTCTTGAAATATGTGGTAACAAAGAAGAATATAAAAATACAGCAAAAGAAAACATGCAGTATAAATGCAGCAAAAGTCTTAAAAGAAGAGCAGAAAATAAAGAGATTTAAAAAAACGGTTTTTTTCATATTTGAAAAAAACTAGAAAAAAACTTTTTTTTTCTTCAAATCCGCTACAATAAAGCATATTCTTTCAATAAAAAATTGAGTATTTTTTCCATATGAAACTTTTAGAAAAATATACAGTGTGTCCACCAATGAACTTAACTATACTTCTGTACCTCAGAGCCAAAGAAGGTCAAGTCCAAAAACCTGATTTCGAGCAGTTTAAAGATCTAAAACCTGGAAAATTCATCTGCATTGTTGTTAAAGCTCGATTTATTTGAAACCCACAGAAAATACTTTGTTCCATAAGTTTCATAAAAACCTAGCTTTAAATAATAATGCAAAAAAGAAAATGCCGCGTTTGAAATCTATCCTTCAAAAATAAGGTTTTTGGACTTGCCCTACTTTGGCTCTGGGGGACAGACTTAAAAAAATATTTATTTTCAATTTTTCGAAGAAAAGTCATTTCTTATAATTTCTTCAGCTTGTTATATAAATACCAATCACGATGATAAACTTCCATTTTGTTATACAGGGTCCGCAAAAAAATAAAATTGTAGATTTTGCAAAATTAAAATATGTTTAATATTTTTTTTCTAATATGAAGAGCTTGTAAGAAGAAACCAAAAAGCCAAATAAAGTTTTTTCATGTGAGTTGTTGTTACTAAGATATTTGTTATTAAAAATAACATCAATTCAGGTCCTAATTTGAGTGGTCCTATTATTTTGAAGAAATTGACTGCTATCTCATTTTGTGATTATGAATCAAGGTTGTTGCTTTCAACTGACATGTCAACAATGTCTACAATTATTTGTTAAAATTTGAAAACTAATGTCTTAAATTTTTAATATCAAGTATCTTATTATAAAAAACTCATATGAAAAAACATTTGACGTTTTGATTTCTCATTCCCAGCTCTTTATATTACCGCTAAAAAAAAAATATTTAAAAAATTTTAATTTTGAAAATTAGTATTTTTGTTCACCTTGTACAACAAAATAGATGTTTCTCAACGCGAATCGTATTTATATAACAAGTAAACGAAATTATGAAAAATGACTTTTCCTCGAAAAATTAAAAATATATATTTTTACAAGTATAGTCAAGTCCATCCGTGGACACACTGTATATAAATAATAAATTGAAATTTAGAAAATATTTCATTTTTTATTATTGAAAATTTTGACTGAGACTAAAAAATTTGGTTTCGTATTATTTGGTACTTTTCACCTAAGGAACCAATAACAATGTAAAACTTGAAGTCTTTTATAGGTAGTTACTAGATAGACCAAATCAAAACAAGCGCGGCCCTTATTGGTTAATTCGGTGAAGGTGCATAGCAAGATACTGTATTACATTTACTAAATGTCATTTAGTGGCTAAATTTTAGTTATTTGAACTGGACTAGAAACATTAAACGTAGGCAAACTAATCTTGAAAAAAAAAACTAAAGTAAGAAAAAACCATTTGAAATAAAACAATACAAAAAAACTGAAAAAAAAAACAAAAAAACGGACCGTTTTTTTCGTGTCACATCTCTAGAAATAACTTATAATAATTAACAATACAATTATTGTGTTTTTTTAAATATGTTTTTTTTAAAACGTAATTATGGTATCTTCTAGACAATAATGGTCTATTGAAAATTTTGGTTGGACAGTCAACATCTCGTGTAGTCTTGGCAATTTTAATATTTTTTTACTCTAAAACCAGACTTTCTAAAACTTTGTAAATGTATTTTAAGTAAAACCTAGAATTTTTTTAACATTTTCTCATAGCGACTAATACCTCTTTAACCTTTAACCTCTTTAACAGACTAAAGAATTAAACATATCCCTAAAAATCA